AATGTTTAAAGTTAAATGCTTAAAGTTGAAAGTCAAATATAAGTTATTATTAAAGATAGTACTTCAATATTTCAATACATTTATTTCAAATTCTTCACGAATATGTAATTCGTTAAATGTCTCCTGCTCTTAATTATTTAGCATTTTGTTAAATGGATATTTTGCAATGAAACTGCGAGGCACAAATTGGAAGATGTTTCTACAACATTACCTTTTTTATACCTATTTTGGCTTATTTTACTTCTCATTTCATGTTTGTGTCAAATATCAATCTTTGTTTCCGTATTCCTTATTTCATCTATAAAATTTAACATGAATCCTCATTCTCAATATATTCTTTTAAAATAGATTTCGAGAAATCTTCTTGCAAAATTTCATATAGAATTTTGAATTATAGTGTTTCCATGAAGTGTTTTTTTTTTATTGATGTTGTGTTGACTTATCCTATCTTCATTTTCTGACATTAAAACAAACTACCGAATAATCAATTTAATCTCCATTGTCCATTGATGAATGAGGTGTGCTGGGGATACTTATATCAAATGTCATTAATACTTTTAAAATTGCAATCCAATTAACTCAGAAAAATGCAAAATATAGTCGAAACTCTTAATTCAGGCAAGCAGCAGATATGACTGGGTCTTCTAAAGGATAACCCTAGTAGCAGCCTATCTAAACCAGTCATCAACCGAGGAACATCGTTAGTTAATTGTTTCAATCCTCTTTAAGACAGAGATACGAATGAAATCAATTGTAATGACATTAATGGATTTGTCTTACTTTTATTATTATTTATGGACAAACCAAGCTCATCAAGTATCATGTAGTTGCCTCGATGTAAATACACTTCGGTGCAGGTATAACAATCCGTGTAATTACTCTTGATATAAACAACATATTTGCATGAAGCATAAATGAAATGACATTGTCTCCATCGTAGGGCATCTGCAAGTTCAATTGTGAACTGGAAGCGGGAGGTTGCGCCTCTTAAGCGTCATTGACATTGCGAGCATTAATTAAAATGTTCTTAAAACAAATTACTAATTAGTCACATGTATAAACAATGACAAGACCGTATACTCTCACACAAGCCTAATTGCCATGCATAAGTATCGATAATTGCAAACATTGCATTTTATTCGAGATCCATCTAAAGGCTATGCCACACAAATATGTAAATAATAACTGTCTCTTTCAAATGTAGATATCATAGTCTACAAAATCATCAATATGAAGGCGAAAAATTTTCCCTTATCTAATACTCTATGTAACAGACTGTATTGAAATTTGTACCGTAACAATAAATTTACATTTCTTATTTATTTTTCTAAACTTTACGATCAATAAAACACGAGTATTTTTTATAGCTTTGTAACTAGTAAAAGCATTAAAGCACTAAACATTCAATCGTATAAAACATTCTTTTTCAACTGAAATTCAAGATATATCGGCATGTGTAATGCTAAATAAAATCTATATTTCAGTTCAATAAGAACTATATTTGTTTTCCTGACAGGTGTTGTATGACAGGTAAAATGATACTCCTTTATATTACATCTGTCTATCAAAATGAAGAGGTTTACGTTCAGTCAAAACAATTAACAATATTAATATCTGACGTTATTGTTGTCATATTTCAGTTTTATCAATTCATTGCCTCATAAACAATCGCTCATAATACCTTTCGTCCCAAAATGTACATCAAAGTGTCATTAAACGATCATTATGTCATATAAGTCATAGTGGACATAACATACCTTATTAATATAAATACACAGATCATACGTAACTTTAATCTGAAACCTAGCATTATAGAAACATCAAAATGAGAAGTAGAATGAGTATTCAAAACGGAAATAAAATGATAATTTACGCTGACAAATATAGAAACACTAAATATTTCTCCGGGGAGAGCAATTAAATAGCTTCGTAATGGTTTTAATAGTCAATAGGTATGAGCAATTTCTGTGCAATTCAATTTGATTCTGGAATATTAGGTTTTCACTGAATTCAAAATTATTAACAAAATGATTTTGCTTTCTGAAGAATTTTCAATAATTTTTGTTTTGGTCAACACACCAATGATGTCGTTTTTAGATTGTGCCTAAATGAGCTAAACACTTATTTGAACTGGCATCTGTTAACCCTGATACGAAATGACAAGCACAGCGCCTCTGGTTTTCCTGGAGAAAAAAGCGAGGCCGTCTTCTCTTTAACATCCCTCACCGTCTGACTTGATTAAAGACGGAAATCAAATCACACAGATCAAACTGTCCCTGTGCTGTCTATTGTATTAGACGGCCTTTGTTTAGTCAACAGCAACCCACATTTTCCTCGCAGCATATTCTAGAATAATTGCATTAAGTCTGACCAGAGTGTGGGGTCAGGGCTCTTTGTAGTTTATTCTGTGTCAGTCATGTCATGCTTTGTAAATAAGGATGTTTCTAAGACGTCAGTAGCACCCGAAACTTGATTGCTACATCCGGTTGTCAGAAGAAAAGTATCTTAAATATCGATGATTATATACCAACTGAAATTTATAAATGTGATTCTTTTAAAAAGAATCAATTTTATTTCTATACTTAACAGCGCATTTTCAAGAATATTGAACCATACAGAATTGTCTCAAATTACAATTATATGTCCTAGTGAAATTTTATAAAAAATAGCAATCTAATGAATTCTTGGTTAAGAAACCATGGCCTCTTTAAAAGGCCGAGTCATTTTTATCCAAGGGGACATCTTGGCGTCTCTAAAAAGGCCGTGTTACTATAAGGTTACTTGTTTCCGCGGGGAAACCATTTCTTTTTTTTTACAAAACCTTCTCTACCTGTAGGTTACTTTTCTCTGTTGGAAACCATGGCTTCTTTAAATGACCGTTTTAGTTTTACGTTAATTTCACCCACGGTCATACCATGGCTTCTCTACAAGACTGTCTTACTGTTAGGTTACTCGTATCCGCAGGGGAAACCATGCTTCTTTACAACGCCGTCTTCCTTTAAAGTTACTTTTCATCAAAAGGAAACCCATGCTTAGTTTTAAGATCGCCTAATTATCGGTACCGGCTTATTTCAAAATATTAGAGTATGTGATAAATATACTTTAATATTCACTCAATAATATGTCTTTAGTATATATACGTGCGACCTATACTTATTCTACATGTTCATGTGCATATTTTATTTTCAACGATGTCCTAGACATTCGGTTTAATTGTGGAAGACAGGAGATTACCATATTTGAGTATGTGGAATATATCCGTTATAGATCCTAGATTCAGACTCACGGAATAGTCTTGATTCGGACCAAACTTCCACTCTCTCGAGTACAACATATCGAGCAGACGCTTTTCAACAATGCAGATTAATTTTATTTAGAACATATTGTTATTCCGTATTATTTATATTTATTTGTATTACCGTTGATATCTTTCAAATGAAAGATGAAAACATCACAGAAAAAAAATTAAACAGCATTCTACAGTTGTTTTGTCCATTTAGGACTCGTCACATTGATGCTAGAGGCCTAGATAATTAACGGGTACTCGGGTTGCACAGAAGTAACGCACTTGATTTTCATCTAACCGTTCTGGCTTCGATTACCGGAGTGAATGTGAAAAAGTATGGGATCACAAGCCAGACCACGTGGGTTTTTTCCTTGGGTATTCCGGTTTCCTCTTAAAGTAAGACCTCTTGCGCGCTTTCATGTTTGGCAACAAGAGTTCTTAATATAAGCTGATAGCTTGTTTCGCAATGGGTGTTAAATAAATAAAGTCTATATAAAATGGAAAAGTAGAACTCGTCAGTGATACAAGGGGCCTTAATCATTAAAAGTTATCATCGACTTTGTTTTGTTCAAATATACGGTGTTTAGGCTTGTTAGTGTCGACCTGCTGATTGTCTTAGCTTGATTTTCACTAGAACTTGGTTCTTAAAACGGCATTGTGAGATAACATGATGTAGGAATAGTTAATGTTCTATTGATTTCTTGTAAATATTTGTTGATGTTGAAGCAAAATGTTTGTGTCAGAAATTTATACAATCATTCAACATTGACTACTCTGCGTAATATACTTTGCTGTTAACCCTGTTCGACGTGCTAACAAGTAGCTAACATTTTTATTGTATGTTACATCATTAACTCAAATATATAATGATCATATTTATTCTGTACATCAATAACCCAAGGAGAGGACAATGACGAGTACGTTCGTCAATGGAAAACATACAAGTTCGATTTAAAATCCTATTGCTTATCAAAACAGTCCGATATACAACATAAATTCTATACATATGTCATTGATATCGTTATACCAACATTGTACTGTCCACCAGACCTCGTGTGACATGGCCAGGTTGATACACTCAGTATTTATATCACCGTTGTGAGATAAACGATGACATTTTCAGGAAAGTCCTCTTATATATAACAACAGAAGATATGTGGTCATTACGTCTTTTTCCCGTAAGTAATCATTGATATCTGTATTAGGGGATAATATGACAAAATTCCAGCTGAAATGAGTTCTAAAGTGTAATTTTTCATAATTCTGAAAAACAATTTAATATGTCCTCTGTGGATATGTGGTCAACTAATGCCGATGAGGCAATTAAATATAAACGGCAACTGAACATTTCATAATATATGGTATCTTGTTATTATTATTATTTCCGAATTTATGTGGTTGAATCTGTATGTTAAGTTTCACGGAACAAACGTCATGACATCATCTGAAATATTCATCAATACTACATTGCATGCTGGTTGAGATAACATTATTTCTTGTTTCAGTTTGAAGCCGTACATTGTATCTTATTTCCAAAAAGAGTTTCCACTTCATTTATTTGAGATTTCCTTGTTAGGTATGACTTTAAATGATCGAAGCTATTTCCAGAACGCAAAACAAAGCGACAAGATTAAAGAAGAAGGAGAAAAAACTAAAAGTGTACATTTAACGGCTTGAAAAATATTAGTATATTTATCATTTGTGTTTGTTACAGGCGATGAAACTTGCAGAAATTATAACAGTACTGTCTGTAGTGTTCTTTGTCACATTTATTGTCGGTGACGGAGCACCCCAATGGCGACCACAGGGACGATTTGGCAAAAGGGTAGACCAGAGACAATATCCAGTTTCATGGCAGCCAGGTAAAACTTTATAAACACTGAAGTAATAAAATTGTAAAGAATTTATACGAATGTCTTTTTCAATACATATATAGATAACCCATTGTTATGTTATCAAGGGTTTGATGTTGGCGTGCTGTTCATGACTTTCACGGTATATTTCACAAACTTATTTAAGTTCATAATGCTCGACAAATGATATTGTTTGATCCATATTCTATCGAAAAAAACGCATTGATGGTAGTTCACATTAGGTAACGACTTTGATTTTGCCGGTTTTCTACCGATGTTCTCACATTTTCAATTGTGTTTTTCTTTTCAATTCTTTCATTATGTGGTACGACGTTTCGAAGTAGGGTAGTTAACTTGATATGATAGATAATACTCATTAAGATGTGTGCCCGTAAATTAAAAAGTGGAAACAGTATTTCACGAGAGGTTAATAGTGATTACACATTTTATTAAAACACTTAACCAAAGGCGTGGCTTTACATTCACACAATTATATATACGTGAATTTTCGGGTATGTACATAAGTTACAGTTTTCAGATGTTCCCTGAGACGACATAATCGTCCATAGTATCTATAGAAGTACAGTCTTAAGTATAAAAGGCACACGAACTGTCGAACCGGTTATCATTGTTGAATGCTAGCGCAACGCAACATATATGTAAACATGTACATGCGTACCATTCTCGATTTCCTAAATCTTTAGAAAAATAGAATTCTGAATAACAAAATTAACTAAGGATGTGATTAAATAAAACAGAAAGCACAAATATTAGTTACACTGATGAAATCATTAGCCTAGGAAAACGGAAAACAATATAAACATAACAAATGTAAACTTTAAGTATTCCATTCAAGATGTATTCTTTACTTTGGAGAAAGAGTCATTTTTTACTGAGTGATGAGAAAATAATAATGCTGTATGCTGATGATGTTATTGTACGTATTTTAATTGTCATCAAGTCTTGGTATATGTGCTTTCGGGAAACTCTCGTTATGCTTCCTAATGTATCCACCCTGTGTATGTACGTAGGGATAAGGGCTGTGTGGTTTATTTGAGTGTATTTAATTACATTTACTGCTATATTTGGATACAAATAGACACGAGCATGACAGGGAAATAGATATCACCTGTACAATACATTATGTATGCACTTCTTTCGATACGATAACCGAAAGGAAGTGTAGCTCTGTGGTACTCCTCAGAAACATTCGGAAAACTGTAACTTTATCTCTTAATTCTCGCAACTTGCGTTGTTAGCTGTTATCCTATAAGGCCTTAACCAATCACATTTTAATTCTAGATCCCCCTCTCTTTTACACCGTTTTTCTATGGGCCTGCACAACAGCATATGATATGCAGCTGACCTTCAAGTGTTTTCCTGCTAAAACCTAAGTCCATTTCTTCATCAGTGGGTGGCCGTAGAATCATATGAAGCGGCATATTTACTTTATTTCATTTTATGTGCGCTATTTAATATATTAGAAAGTACATGTTTTATAGGGAAATGAAATTGATCAACGTTTATGGACGAGCAGGGTATTATTAGTTGGTTATCCTGGGGACAATTCTAATACAAACCATAAGTAAGGAAACAGCATTAAACATTTTATAAAAAAAAGTAAAAAATTGACACTATTATTGATTTGTAATGAAGATGAGTTATGACGTTTATGGTGTTTAGAAGAAGTTTTGAATGCGTTGTTATTTGCAGACTCTGAAAGTGATATAGACGTTTACCCTGTGGTAGAAACCAGAACAGACACAGAAGCCGACAGTGAGAAGACTTTGAAACTGTTGGAAAAATTATGTGTAGAAAGCAGCTTACCTGGTCTGTTTAGGTGTTACAGGTAAGGACTAATCTTATCTATCACATTAAAGGCACTCAATTCTGCTCGTGGAATGCTATCGCCTCCATTTGTTATTGCCTCGCATACCACGTATCAATTCTTTTGATTGGTTTAAAATATACACAGATGCTTTATTTTCTCAAAAATATTTTACTTGCTTTCCAGATTTCCATGCTTTACGACCACTTGCATCACTTGATAGGGAGGTGCACTAGCCCCATAATAAATTATTTGGCCTAATTTTTGGTATCTACAATACGGTTTATATACATGTGCTATCACGAATAAGGAATAATCATTCGGAAAGAGTACCCAAAATTAAACTTACTGTATGAACAGAAATGAATTAAAATGTACACATATTGAAGGTAAAATTGAAATGACAATTCTTATTACAAGAAAACATCACTTATACCCGATAGCGTACTGTGGCATACATAGATTTAAATCTAATCAATATGTCTAGATTATGCTTTCAATATAGAAATAAAAAAATCGTTAACGCAACTCGCCCTTGTATTAATTACATTTTCAGATATTTTTACTGTTAACTGTAAATCAACCAGAAACACATAATCGATTTTAGTTCTATGCTGTATCTACTAATTAAGCTTATGTGATTTTTTCTAGGAAACAGACGGTTTGATACAATCATCTTTGTTATCTAGAAATTTACGATTTTCGTTGTTACGAAAATATTTACCGTAACTAATGTAATTTTACTCATGTTGAAATATAGGCAGAGGTCATTGTCTTCTTCACAAATATGTGTGATGACAAGGAGTGTATCCTATAGACGAGGCGTTGTGTACAGCCTCTCTTTATACCCGTTGAACCATGTTATGTTCCAATTTAGTTATAAACAAATCATTTTATCTTTCAAAACTGAAATTATGATATATCTTTTGGCACGAGTAATGGTTCCTATCCCTGGTGCTGTATTTAAAACGGAACTGTATTTCAGAGGGGAAAACCTACTACGATGAAGAAAATTTCATTTTTGTCAGTGTCCTAATTATTGAACATTTAGATGCGTTCGTGTGTATCAAGTAGTCAATATATACAAAAAGAGATTTGATTCTCATTTTTATTCAGGATGCAGACCTCAATGGCTGTTCATTTGTAATCATCCTCAATTTGAAAAAAAGGATGTTTTCCTTGAACATAGTTTATAAACATTGGTTGGAATATCTCTTTCCGTTACATGGTGTTATTTTACGGTCTGCTTGTACATTTTTAGTATACTCGGATTTCCACGTAAGATATTTCTTACTGATTCGTGTTAATGTCTTAGTATTGTGGCCAAAACAAATGCTGCTGGTAACCATGGATTAATTACAGATGAAAAATATACTATACTCTGTTTTAAGTAGTGAGTACAAAAAAGCGATATCGTGGATTTAATCGTATCTCATTGACAGAATATATTTCATAAACTATGCAAGGTTGCATAATTAGTTGAAGTAATCAAAATAGAGAAAAATATTGGGACTAGGCAGAAATTTTGTGTAATTTCAGAGAGTTTAACAAGTCTAATTTAGAAAGCTAAATTTTGTCGAAACGTGGCGCTTTATCAGTTTGTAGCATTTGGTAATTGCAGCTAGAAATGATTAAATCTGCAGCTTCATTTGCTCTTTTGTTTCTTTATATTTGAAAGGTGGTCTTTAAGATAAATGTTGATATCTCCACCCATTTTCTTTACCTTTCTCATTTCAGAAAGAAGAGGTCAACAGAAGCGAGGGAAGACGAACGATCGTAAAAGGAATCTGCACCTTAAAAGCATTATTGGAAATATTTACACCAAATAGCTACTTACCACTTGAAAAACCGGAATTTCGATGATATACCAGAGGTTGATAATAAAGCAAAGACTATGTTAAATGTTTCTAATAGTGAAAATACTTTGATGCACTATCATGGAAAACACATCATGGAAAATTGAGAACAGAAATGATAATACAATGTATATTCCTAAGGTCAACGACGCCATTTCATCATGAACTTGAGCGGTTGCGAGTAAATATCATTTCAGCAGCCTGCCTTCGCGTTTGGTTATGTCAGACAAACTAGCTTACCTCATTAAGGGTTGTTGACGTTCGAAATTGCATTGGTCATCATACAGAATATCCGATATGTTTCTGATTAATTACTTCACACATTGACATTATGTCAATCGCAATATAATAAGAGTACTTTTGTTTTCGTACAAAGATAAAAACAAATCTTTGGATTTACTGCCGATTTACTTTTGCTGCGAAAATAGATAATAAAAAATATACTTAACAAATTTGTCTTCCACTTCCTATTATTTTATCTGCATTATCGATTAAATGAAATTTGATTGCGTTCTCTTTTTGCCAAGATAAGGTTTCCGTGGCAACAAATCTGTGTCAATCGCACATTCTTCAGAAAGCATCACAAAATAACAGTAAGGCATGTATATCACTCGACTACTAACGTGTGCTTATGTACTATCATGGCTGGCCTGTTACAAATATAACACCTAAACGGTTTCGTAGATGTGTCAGTGATAGGTAAATTCTAGTATATAGACCTGGTGTCATGGCTGGCCAGTTCCCAATATAACACCTTAACATTTTCGTGCATGTGTTAGTGATAAACAGATTGGTATGTTGCTATCAATCAATTGTTTTGTCATAAACACATTCAGAGATCCACAATATGTTAAAATGTACAAGAAAACTCGTATAAATAAAAACATAAGTTTATGAAGGACAAACATCTCATGCTTCTTGAGCGACACTACCTTATCATTCGTCTTCATTTCATAAAGCAAAATATATGTTTATAAAATCTTTGAACAGAAATGGAAAAAAATATGAAAGTTTCTTCCCAGAAATAGAATGAGAAAGTCCCTTAGGAAAGGATAGGTCTTCCTATCAAAATTAATGTCATATCTTTTTAGAGTTATTAACTTTTCCGTGCTGTACGCTACCACACATCAGTCAAAACTAAATACAATCTTTCGTTTTCGGCGTAATACAATTATCAATGTATGTTCACGAGTATGTTTGGAAACACAGGGTAGCGTGGATGAAACAATGAATCTAGGCTGACTACATTTCCATGTTCAACGTTTAATTGAAAACCTACCAACTGTTAGGGTAGTAATAAGATTTTAGTCATTCTTAGAAGCAAGGGAAGGGCTGTCAAAGCAACACTTATGTTGAAAATATATCAGTCCAACTTGTCTAAAAAAATTGGTAGTCACATGTTACAGGATGCCCTCCGTTCTGTTGTATTGCTATTTGACACTTTCTTCGGCTAATTATAAACAATCTTCTGGAACTCAACTGTACGTCACAAAAGTACAAATAACAAATGATAAAAATGATCTATCGCGCCCACGAGATGTTACAGTTTTTAGGAAGCAAATCAGAAGAAAAGGTGGAATACCAAACAGTCACTATCGATATTCATTTTTCATGTCATTTCCGGTTTCTGGCAAGCACTGTTTATTATAAGCGAGGATAGTTGTTGTAATGACGGAAATAAAGATGGAAGAAGACATTATCACATATCAGACGTCAGTTTCTTTTACTTCAATTTCCGCAAATAATCTTAAAGTCCATACCTCTCAGTAATGATACAGAACATCATTTCTTGGAGTTTCATGCTATTAAAATTCGATAAAATAGAACAGAAATAAGTGATACACTTAAAATACGCTCAGATTCTTTTTAAATACAAATATCTGAAAAAGTGAAACCCAGTTTGATAATTAAATAATTAAAAATTACAATCAGAATATATGGGTTAAATAAGCTTTTACCAAAAACTGGAAATTTTAAAGAAAAAAGGCGCGAACCAGCTGTCGTTATTTACGGATTTGACATGTAAGAAGCAATACATGCATAAATATATAACATCATCCCATATTTAACATCATTAAATCATGCTTTCATTATCTATCAGCGGTTCAAGGTTCATAAGGCAACGAAACAATAGGGAAAATCCTTACATGACAACATAACCAACGTTTCAGGTCAACAAGGCATTCCAGGGAAATTGTGACATTAACATCAAAGCCATGGAAACAGCGTGCTAATCCAACTCCACTGGTTAGGTGATACATATGCAATGTATTTATGGCACCTCGTCTGTACTTGATGACACAAACAACAAATAGTTTTCATAATATATTTTTGTTCAACAACAAATTGTCAACAGTATACGTAAATTGATTTTCGGTGTTTAATCGAAATGATTACCGTTTCGATACATAAGTTACGTCTCGTCTTTCGATACAAACAGTGGCAAGGTCATCGTATAAACCCTCCAGAACAATTCCAATACAAACACAGGTTATTCTGTACTAGATATTTATTCTAGTTTGATCTTTACAGCCGTGTAAAATCAAGCCGACAGAGAGAGCTTTCCAGTAAACTATAAAAAAGTATGACAATTTCAATTTTCATCAGTTTTTTCATCAATTGAATAGAAGTATTTCCTTGCCGTTAATATGCACGACTATGACGGATAAAGCATTCCTAGTGACTTTCCTAAAATAATTCTAATGTTGATGACGTGCGTTATCCGGATTTTTTGTTTTTGTTTTTTGCTTTCGTTCATTTTGGACATCATGACATTGTTCAGTACATAATGACACCCGATCACATGAAAAGCCGCTTTCAAAGTTCAAAGTATCGAATTAATATAAGCATTTCTGTTAAATTTTACTATTTCATTTGATATAAACCAGGTTTCCCCTCATTAATACATAGATTTTATATTAAACATTCTCATGTTCTGAGATAACACGTATCCTTGTTCGTAACATTACATTTCATTTCAGCACGATTTCTCACTCTGATCATATTCATTTGTATTGCGAAAATTAAATTAATACATCCTCGAGAGAACTGATAATTCTGCTTGGTTCAAACAGGTTACACATGTATTTAGAATTGTGTGAATGAGGTCATTTTTCTAGCATATTATGTCATACTCTTGTCTTGTTGTCCGGTCGATGGAAATAGAAACGTCAGTGACTTCCGAACAATACGTCTATTTAGTTAACATCTCCAACCTCTTGTTGTTTAGAAAAGGAAAACGATAATACCAGAAAAAGCAAATACCTTACGGATAGTTAAATTACGGAACAACAATATTGTTGTTGATGAGCTCAGATGTTAGCATGTAGCAGGACTGATCAGCTGATCATTCCACTGCAGAGATAATAGTTGTTTTTGAAATCTAAAACCCGATATTTCCAACGTTTGATGATATAGATATTTCATAGGTACTTGGTTTAATGTCAAACGCTCCTCACATTGATCTGGTGCACTTGCCTTTTTGTAAGATATGTCAGTATAGGGTCACACAAATTAACGTTTTAGCATTGCATGAGAATCAGGCATTACCTAACTAAGTATATACACACCTACTACGTAGTAAAAGAAATTATTGGTGGACATTATAAATATACAATACATTTACGGTCGTGAGGTACTTATATTTTGACATGAAATTCTTTTTGAAACCATAGCATCGAATCTGAATGCCACAAAATTGATGAAACATTTGTAAATATAGGTTTTTGATCAGTATAATTAAATTAAATCAATTAATGGATTACCTAATGCTACTAAATCTAGTCTACTTTAAATCCTCATTAATGTTGACCATGAATTTGTGTTTCACTAAACTCACGTTCATACTAACGGAAAGATAGATTTACATTGTGAAAACATCACCATTGACGACCTGACTCAATGGATCTAAATATAGCATATTACACAAAGGTACACAATTTAACCAAATATTTCGTCCTTCAAGAATTCATCTTTGATGTAAAGTTTTGTTAAACGTAAAGTGGAATAAAACTTCTTTGACACAATAAGTAGAATATTTGAATATGACGATACTATGACTACACAGTCACCTTCATCAGACGGATGACCAGGATGAAATGAACTAGTAGTGACACACATAGAGTACGAGATAGTAAGGAATCAACAACAGTTTTTCGTCTGCGCTATAATTCCATGTACACTTAAATAGAAAATAGCGTGACGAGAGGTCAAACAGATAATAGAAAAAAGTACATAAGATGGTAAAAATGTAGTCCATTCACCTGAGAGTCTATGTCTACCCTACCCCACCCTTCGGCCCTGATGTATACGTGCCCTCTGTGGAGTATCCAGATGACCTCCTTGACCAACCGCCTTGAAACTGAAAAGATTGTTTTTCCTGTCGGATATTTTGGAATTTTAACAGTAAAACCTCCGTATGATGAATCTTTATTCACTGCTAGACTTAGTTATTTGCACACAGTTTTCAACTTGAAGTCGATATGAGAGACAACATCAGCTGGGCATGATTAGCCTAGCGTGTTAGGTGAATGTTTGTTTTATAGTGACATTGTGATAGCTAAATTGACCAACCTTCCATGTGTCATTATTTCTGCAGCCAAGTTGAACACGATGTCAACATTGAAATTCAATGGTAAGTATCCTTTGTATACCTGCAGTGCCTAATGATGCGTTATATCAAGGTTCATGTTCTTGTTCATATTTAGGTTCAGTTCTCTTCCGAAGTCATTACTTCTGTGACTCCAAAGGTATGATATAATAAAAAAATAGTTATGGATTTCTTTAATAAAATGAGTTTGGAGCAGAGTGAAACTGTGAATGGCCACCAGCAAGGAGATATGTTGATGACTATATAGCTCTTAAGAAATTGTCAACAATTATTATTGACAATTCAAGAGAAAGGAAAGTCTTCCTGCAAGTATGA